ATGCCAGGGCTTCCCTCTACAAGCACCATTCTGGCTTTTTCTTGACTCCCCTTCCCAAACATGGAGCGGAGTCTTCGATGCCAGCCCAATTTCTCCTCTTGCTTGTTAAGGTTAAAAATTTCATACATGTGAATCTCTTTATCCGTGAGTTGAAAAGTACTTGTTCTTCTCCATTTGACTTCCAACCTGGTGTAGACTTCGTCAAGAGACAATTGGATGGTGTTGTCCCAAAGAAGTGGTTTCAAATTAGAACGTCTGATGTATTCATCTTCCAGAAGTTTGCGGAAAGGACGAGGATTAAATTTACCTGGAATGGAATGAAAATTACTCTAAAGTGAGAAAGGTTGTATATGCTGTGCTAAAACTGTCACATTAAAAATTAGGAGGTTGCTCCAGCAAGTCAAAGCCTTAAAAGTAGCAGCACAGTGAACAATTCTAAATACTGAACAATTCCGAAAGTAACACCCCTCCCCCGAAAATGACGGTTCCCTAAAGGCAACGATATTTTTTTACCTTCCTATTGAAAACCGAAAGTAACGGTCCCCCCAAAATGAACAGCCCAACCAAAATGTAGTGGCCGTTTGCAGAAGTCAGTAAGAGAGAAACTCAAGTGCAATGTGGATGGAACAGCCTAACTGCAGTACTGAAAAACTCGAAAATTTTCTTGTGATTTTATTTCGAACTTAACTGAATTTTTCTTGAGACTATATCAAACGATATAGTGTTAACAGTTGTATCGCAATATAATGCGACCATTATACTTTCGCCCTACAATGTTTAGGGCCTTTTTTGTTTACACAGTCTGCTTTGTGTACGTGGGTAGTTAAAAACTTACATAAACGGAACTTTTAATTTCAGTTGTCACATGTCTGCTATGTCTGAGAAGACTGTGAATCCCTACAAACATTTTTAACTATCCGAAATTCATGGCTTCCTGAAACCAGCGGCCTCTTCTGCCTGCTAAAGCCGAAGGTAATGGGGGCCGCTTCTTTCGGAATTCTATGGCACTTTAAACAAGAAATTGAATCAGGCCAGTGGAAATTAAATTACCTTTGCAATGCTCCTTAAGTTGAGAAACAGCACTGGATAGCCACCTTTTACCTTTTAGAAAAAAGTTACTACAGTCATGCACCTTAGTTACCATCAAACAAAGAAGAAGCCAAAGAAGAGCTTTCAGTCATCAAGTGAAACTCTTTTGACTATTACATTTTAACAACTAAACTAGAAAAGCAAATTAACCACCAAGGCTATCTTCAAGCACAAGCGGTTATATCACTGCAGACTAGGGGAAGTCTTAGCGTATGACTTTATGCAACATGCATGAAGCTATGGTTATATGCCTGGAGGCAACATGGGAACTGGTAATGCATAAATAATCATATAAAAATAATTTATTTGGTCTTTGATGCACTAAAAGCTTACTTTACATTCCAATGTTTTAAGATTTTCCTTTTGGCCTCATCTCAACTGAAGAGAAATATTGCAGACATGCCAATGTACTCAATTGTGTCTGTACGTAATAAGAATGTGCACGTGTAGCCTCAAAACAATACGATGTGGTTGTTGGCATCAACAGACAACGTTTTAAGTAACCTGGAATTATTACAGTACTTTCCTTTTGCACCTATCTATAACTATTAGAACTCCTGCTTTGATGTTATAGCAGCTAAAGCTGCCTGCACCCTACACCATTAAACACATATATAGATGGAAATGGCTAGAGAGTGATTCAGAAGAGACCATGCAATTTGTTGTCATAAACACATGCACATGAAGTATTAATACATACCAGTAGATTGTATTCACTATGTAATACTTAATTTCAAATAATACATGTATCATTCAATTCTGGCCTAACTGCAAACATTTATTAATTCCTTTCACATGTTCACATGAAAAAGGGGAACATAATTATTAGATGTCTGCATGCCGGCTACACAGTTCTTGATAAGAGTTTGTAAGTTCTCTCTATTCAAAGCACTTAACAATATACCATTTATGAGTTGCCTTTGCCTCTAATTGTCAAGACGAGCCATTGTGCAAAACCATCATTAGGAAAATTCATTTCACCTGTACTTCCATTTTCATGTAAATCACACTCCTTTCCATTTGAAATGTTTTGCACAAGGACTCGTTTCGAAACAGAGGTAATGGTAACTTGGAAATGACCTATTGTAATTGCTTATTAGACAAAATTAGACAATTCATACGTGTATCTCAATGTATTAAAAGCTGTACCTTCGTCAAAAACTTCTAGATCAGTGGGTTCTACAAAACTTCGAGAAGGTACATGGGAAAGTATTGGATTACACTCCACTGTCCATGGATGCGCAGTACCTACAGATCGACCTTCAAGCAGAAAACATATGTAAACGATATTGTCTTCCTCATAATTATTTCTCTTGCAGTTGACTGTGAACTACGGATGTGTATGTTTATAACTATAGATACAAATATAAGATTTCATTTACAGGCAAAATACCAATTTTTTTGGGAGGAGGAAGGGGCTGGGTTTTTTTTCACAAAGCCTTGCATAAAATCTATCAGTTACTGATTGAAAGTATTTCATTTAACTTGTATATTACTCTCTACCCCTTTTCTGCCATTTCTAAATTTATATAGTTATGTTTGACAGAGATTGATCTTTGTGCTAAAAGACTATTATACCGCAAATCCTCAAATTAGCGCTCCCCTCGAGTAAGCGCCTCCTTCGAGTAAGCGCCCCTCCAATCAGCCGAAATTTAAAATAAGCGCCACCCTCGAGTAAGCGCCCCCCTCTCCTCCCCTCCATTTTGTGGACAAGTAATGAGACAACAAAGGATGTATAGTTTTCGTCGTGTAATATTAGATTTGTACATTGTTTCAGATTGTGAACACGTTTAAGGAAAACGTTAAACACGTTAAGTACTAACGGTGCCGCGATTTAAACTTTAGGATCATCTTTTTATGTCAATAAACAGCTTATGTTAGTGTTTACGCGCAGATGATGTATTAAAATAACGATTATGTCAGGCTACGATTTGGGAAAAATTAAATAA